AAGTGTGAAGCAATGTGTCCAAAATCGGTGTAGAAATAGCAAAGTTCAATCTATAAGAACCTTGATACATGTACACTATGATCTACACTTTGCCACGTAACATTTCCCTGTTGGACAGTTTAAATTTTAAACCGTTTTTCCATCCAATTGACACTCGATAACGATGCAAGTATAAAACAACGTGTCAAAAATCAGTGTACAGATGGCAAAGTTCAATCGGTAAGAACATTGCGACATGTACACTATGGAGTATACTTTAGTTTACACTTTGCCATGTGACACTACCCTATTGGATAGTTTAAATTTCAAACATTTTTTCATCCAATTGACACTTGACGACAATGGAAGTGTAAATCAACGTGTCAAAAATCAGTGTACAAGTAGTAAAGTTCAATCGGTAAGAACCTTGCGACATGTACACTATAGAGTACACTTTAGTTTACACTTTGTCACGTGATACTACCTTGCTGGACAGCTTAAATTTCAAACATTTTTCCCATCCAATTGACCCTTGACAACAATGCAAGTGTCAAACAACGTGTCAAAAATTAGTGTACAAATAGCAAAGTTCAATCGGTATGAACCTTGCAACACGTACACTATAGAGTACACTTTAATTTACACTTTGCCACATGACACTACCCTGCTGGACAGTTTAAATTTCAAACAGTTTTCATGTCCAACTAATACTTGACAACAATGCAAGTGTTAAACGTGTCAAAAATTAGAGTTCAAATAGCAAACTTCGATCTGTAAGAACCTTGCAACATGTATACTATGGAGTACACTTTAGTTTACACTTTGTCATGTGACAATACCTTCCTAGACAGCTTAAATTTCAAATAGTTTTCCTATCCAATTGACACTTGATAACAATGCAAGTGTCAAATAACGTGCCAAAAATCAGTGTACAAATAGCAAAGTTCAATCGGTAAGAACCTTGCGACATGTACACTACGGAGTACACTTTAGTTTACACTTTGCCACGTGACACTACCCTATTGTACAGTTTAAATTTCAAATAGTTTTTGCATCCAGTTGACTCTTAACAAAAATGCAAGTGTCAAACAACGTGTCAAAAATCAGTGTACAAATAGCCAAATTCAATCGGTACGAACCTTGCTATATGTACACTATGGCGTATAATTTTGTTTACACTTTGCCACGTGACACTACCCTACTGGACAGTTTAAATTTCAAACAGCTTTCCCATCCAATTGACACTTAACAACAATACAAATGTCAAACAACGTGTCAAAAACTGTGTATAAATAGCAAAGTTATATCGATAAGAATCTTGCTACATGTACACTATGGTGTACATGCTTGATAAGTGTGTTTTTACACACTTATTTGGTTCACAAACATGACTTAAACATGGATAAAGTGGTTGAATTGTGACTTAATCCAGTTAAATTCATGCATTGTAGGTAATTCAATGGAATTTGTGGAATTCAGGAGAAAAGATCCGAAGAAGGACCAAAACGCAACAATTTTAAAGTTGGAGGACTAAAGTGCAAATACTCAAAAGATGTGCCGAATGAGTGGCATAATATTTGAAAGTGTCTATCATCAATTGGAAGATAAGAATTGTTGAAAAGATGAAGAAATCGAAGAAAGAAGTCAAGAGAAGCAACAAAGAAGTTCAGGGACCAAATTGAACAAACCACATAGATGGTTACTTCTATGCGACCGCATAGTGTAACCTTCTATGCGGTCACATAGAAGGTTTCAGGGATTAATTGAGAAAAAATATTTGATCTATGCGACCGCATAGATTCCTTCTATGCGGTCGCATAGTGCGTTTTTGAAACCTCGGACGTGGTTTTTCGTTTTGGTTGAAACTCCTTTCATACTTAATTTGGACGCGATATAACTACCCAAATTCATCATATGAAGGGCAGAAACGACCAGGGAGAAGGAAGAGACCAAAATTGGAGGCAAGGAACTTGATTTTGGATTCAATTTCACACGGGCTCGAGACGGGATTGAAGATTATACACACGGATTGAAGAAATTCCATACGGGTGTATTCTTATTATCTTTTAATTTCGTTTTTCAATTTCTTGATTTTGTAATGATGATTATAGGCTAGGGTTTTTGTTCATTAGGAATTTGATGAACCTTTTGATGATTTAAATTTCCATTATTTCATAAATTCAACATTAGTTTCGATTGGACAAATGTTTGGTTTATATGATTTGAATGCTTCCATAATTAATTGGCCAATTATTATGTGATTGTAGATGATTTGTTCTTTGCATTCGAAAGAAGGGGAATAAATTCGATAGAATATAAATCGACATAGGGTCCGATAGGGGATGGAAACTTACCTCTATGCTTTATGCAATTCATGAAAATGTTCATAAAAAGTCATGCATTCTTGTACATTGCATCATCCATAGAAATATAGGCTGGTGGTGTGTAAGAGTAGATTCAATATATATCGAGAGAGTGTATTGGATAATTTAGGAACATTGAATTGGCATTTTGTTCCAACGATTCGTTGAATTTGTGAAATTAGGGTTTTTAATAGTCAATTGGGGATTCAAGTTCTTAGTGATTTCATTTCAATTCATTTCAATACAATAGAATCTAAAATTGCATATTTACATTTCAGTTGCGTGTTTATTTCATTAGATTAGTGAAATTTCGAAATTAGGGTTTCCAATTTTGAAATTAGGGTTTTCTTTGCAATTAGGGTTTCAAATTGGGGATTTCTCCCAAAATTAGGGTTTTCACATTTAAACCAAATTTTCATTCAATTAGATTCGGTTAAGGTCACATTAGTTTAATTAGAGCTAATTCAATCCTCGTGGGAATGATACTTGGACTCATAGTCCATTTTACTACTTGTTAACGAACCGTACACTTGCGGTGAGTTTTAAAATCGAGAAGAAATAATTTTGCGAACAAGTTTTTGGCGCTGTTGTCAGGGATTAAATTTTAGATTTAATTCTAACTTTTGTGACACTAATTCGAACTTATTCATTTTAGTACTTATTAATTTTATTAGATTTATTTAATTGTTTTTTTTATATTGACTTTTTGCGTTAATTTTTCCATATTAGGGCTTGCATGCAAGGAGTACCTGATCAAGACTTGGTCCCTATAGATCCAGAGATTGAACGCACATTCCGTCACAGGCAAAGGGAAGCAAGAGTGGTGCAACAAATGGCTAACGAGCAAAATCGACCGGGAATTCCACTCAATGAAGGTGTGGCAGTGGAAGAGGATGGAAATACGGTACTTGGGGATTTCATGGCACCATTGGTGGTGCAAAGTCAATCTAGTATTGTATATCCTCCATTTGGGCAACCGAACTTCCAACTGAAGACAAACGTGATCCAACTGTTTCAGAATGGGCATCAATACCATGGGATGGCTAGTGAGAATCCGCATACACACATATCTCGATTTCTTGATATGTGTCAACACTTCAGATACCAAGGTATCTCTGATGATGCTATAAGACTGCGTTTGTTCCCGCACACCTTAAGGGATAAAGCACTCGAATGGCTGGATTCACTCCCTGTCGGAAGCATCACCACTTGGAACGAGCTAGCTCATAAATTCTGCACCAAGTTCTTCTCGCCAGCTAAA